GTTTCTGCTGTGTGCATGGGGGCTTAGCTGCACGGCACGGGAAGCACACGCATACATACGCGTACACCCCTATATAGATACACACCCCCACGTACACATATATGCACACAAAACCTATAAACACACACTTACATATGCATTTTTATGCATTTTATACACACGAAGGGCAAACAAGCCCTCAGTGCCAAAAGGCATCCCCACTGCTTCGCGTGAGGGGTGCCCTATCTGCCCTGGGATGGGTTTTATCACCCCGCTCCAGGCCTTTCCCACAGTTTTCCAGCTGATTTAGGCAAGGGGAAGGAGCAGGGAGAGGGGACATCCTGGTACGCACTGGCACAGCCAGCCCGTCTTGCCGGGTTGCAGAATTGCCCATCTAAGCATGGAGGAGAAAGGCTGAATTAGGATATTTAGGTCACAAACTCTTTTCAGCCTAATTTGACAATGCAAATTTAGGGCAAATGAGCTTGAGTAAGAAGTCAAGTTTTTCCAGATCGCGTTACAGATTCCCATAGCCTGAATCCTTCCACTGTCCCCCCGCCAGGCAATAACCAGCACCCACAGCAACGCCTTCCCTGTGGCCACATAGCCAGAAATTCAGGATGTCACTGTCACCTCACACAGACGCTGCCTACCCTGGTGGCAAACTTGTGAGTGGTGGAGCTGCCACCCAAAGTTCAGCCATGCCTCGTATCATGCCCTCCTCCCCCTCCTATCCAGCTGCTTCCCAAGAGGGCATAAAACTCCTGCAGCCTCAATTAGCTGACAGCCAAGGAGAGAAAATCCCCCCAGGTCACAGCTATGCCCAAAACCCCAGGATGGGTGGGTTTGGAGGAGCAAAGCCCACACATTGTTGCCTTTCCTCAGTCTCTCCCCAACCAACTGACACCATCCCCGTTGAATCACAGTGCCATGACGGTTCCCCAGTGACTCTGCAAGAGCAGAGTTTCTTCTATCATTTCCTGAGGGCCATGGCAAAGACACACACTGGGTGCACAGCTGGTCACACGCTGAGGCTGGTGCAAGGTTCAAAATGGGCTGCTCCCCTTCTCATCCTCCTGCTAGTTAGGGGAAGGAGAGAGCCCCCTTGGTTCAAACATAACCAAAGAAGGTTCTATTGCTCTTCCCCCGCTCCATGCTCCCTTGCAAGAGCTTTGCTTCCACCACAGAACCTCAAGCAGAGAGATAAAACAGTAGCACACAATTTTGGTTGAAATTTGTGTGTACCAGCTCTTTATTCACAGCTTCAAGAGACACAAGCTAAATTTGTTAAATTTAGCCTCATAAATAAAGCCTCAAAATTTGAGGCTTTGAGCAACCTGGTGTAGTGGAAGGTGTCCCTGCCCATGGCAGGGGGGTTGGAACTAGATGATCTTTAAGGTCCCTTCCAACCCAAACCGTTTTATGATTCCATGAAATTTTCTTCTTCTAAGGACCAGCCATATCATCAGAAGTCTCCAGCGGACATGAAGACCATCCTCCTCACCTCAGCCAGCCAGGCTGCAACCCCTGGGGCCAAACCTCCCCTGCCAAGCTTGGGAAGCCTAGAAATGCAAATAAATACATGTCTTTAAAATATATTTATTTTTACTGAAAACTGTTCAATGGTACAAGCTCACACTGCTTTGGCCTGTTCTTCTCCTTGGGCAGGACCTGCTGGGATCACAGCCACATGCCGGGGGCTGCAGTGGCTGGATGGCTGCGATGGAGGAGGTGCTACCTCCCCTGTAAATTCCAGCCCTGGGAGCACTGAGAGCTCAGTTTCACAGGAAGCACGGCTCTGACAGACATGCAAAACAAAAATATGTGCTGAGGCCTGGCACTGCCTCTTGGAAAACCAAAATACATGTTCACATACCCCTTTAGCTGCCCCTTCCCTGCAGCAGCTACTGCTCCAGAATACAGTATTACACCTACTATGGAGAAATTAGCACCCAAGTTCTGGCTAAACCAGACGACTCTTTGCCCAGCACAGCCCTGGAAGGCTCCAGGAGCTGTACTGCTGTGTTATTAGTTCAACAAGCACACCCTGATGAGTCCCAGCCCCCACAAGCTACATCAGCAGCCTCAGAGGTGCAAGCCATAGCTCAGCTCACCTGCCAAGGAAGTTTCTTATTAAACAGAGGATGAGTGTCTGGGATCAAAAGCAGAGGACACACTCCATCCCAGCCTCCCGTCACCCCCCTGGCACTGCACGAGCACCCAGGAGGTTGCTCAGAGCAGGTGAGAGCAACTGGAAAGCACTGCAGCAAGGAGAGATTACTTTAAACTTCACCACCTGCAACTCAGTAGGTCCTTGAGCACCAGACAGAGCCAGCTGGTGTCCATCAGGACTCATCCACCCCACCTGATCCAGATCATAACCCTCATCAGTTAACAGCCATTCTTTATGGAGCACAGTAGTGCCCCAAAAATACCAGCAGCTCCCTACAGGGCCCAGTGTTACTCTGGAGAGAGGATCAGCTAAGCATCCGATTATCTCTCTTCTCATCAACAGCCTGTCCCACCCCAGGCCCACTAGGGACTAAACCTCAAAGTTTAATTCAGTTAACAGCAGTCACCATTAATTGAATTCCAGCTCTCCACAAACACAGCAGTGTGCAACATCCTTTTTTTAATTATTTCTGAACCACGACCATCGTGGACCGCCCCAGGACGATCAGAGCTGCAGGACCAGAGGGCAGCGAGTTACAGAGGGAACAAAACCACCACGAGGACTCATGGGTTTGTGCAGG